TTTAATTCGTTTGCATTAGTTTTAAATCTTTTGCTGATAATTAAAACTCCAAAAATATTGAATAGAGTGTTTAAGAATTTTTTCTTTTCTTTTTCGTGATCGAATAATCATGCAATTGAATCCGGCTAACCTTCCTTGCGATACGACCCGGGGAATGAATCTTTCGATTCTACTCCGGTAAAAATACTTACAACAAAATTGGCGTCGTTGCCGGGGAAGGTTTAGGACTTTAATTGTGCGCCTATTCGTTTATTTTTCGTGTTTCTCTTGTTTTTCTTTTTTTTAATTTGTTAGTTGTTAGTTCTTTGTTTTCTTTTGATTTCCTTTTTATCTTCTTTTTCTATCTGGTGCTCGTGACGGTTTCTTTTGTCTTTGTATGCGTACCAGGAGTGGACGCGTACTGTCTCCTATCGACAAACCGTTCAGCGAGAGCCTGAGAGAGCTACTGGAGGAGATTAATCTGGAACCTAAGGAGGAAGACGAACATTCTCCAAAATCATCAGAAGGCAGCAACCTAGAAATGGGTGAACGACAACAACAAGCTCCCCGTAACACCCTCCGAACTTTGGCCCAGCCAGTTATCGGGCCAGCCACTTCATGCATTCGCTTGCCGGACGCTGCACGAAACTACGAGCTGAAAATGATTCACTACAATCAGCTGCCGGCATTCCACGGGCTTCCAAGCGAGGACCCACTGAACTTCATCTGGGAATTTTACAATGTCCTCAGCACTTTCCCTCTCAATGGCCTCAATGATGAGCAGTTGAAGCTGAGATGCTTTCCCGAGACTCTGAAAGACCGGGCCAAGGCCTGGTTCATGACACTTGCACCTGGCTCTCTCACTACATGGACCGAGGTGTACTCAAAATTCATTGGGAGATATTACTCCCATCAAAAGACTCAGGAGCTCCGGTCACAGATCGTCTCGTTTGCTCAATTACCGAACGAGTCTCTTCATGAGGCTTGGGAGCGGTTCAAGGATCTCCAACGGCAGTGCCCCCATCACAACCTCTCTCCGGGGCTACTCATGAATGGCTTCTATGATTCCCTCCACCAGAACTTGCAGTATATGGTCGACAACGCGGCAGGAGGTGATATCGGAGCAAGGACAGCCGAGGAGATGTTTTAGATCTTTGAGACGATGAGTTCGAACTCGTCGCAAAAGAGCACTCGAGGCAAGAGGGAAATAGTCAGCGAGGTCAGTACAAGCAATGATTTGGTGGTCCAACAGCTGGCTGAACTTACCGAACAGATGAGGTTGCTTACGGCACGAGGATCTCAGCCAGTTAACACATTTGCAGTCGATACATGTGGGGCATGTGGAGCCCCAGGGCATAGGTCCGAAGTTTGCCCCTCATCATTCGAGCAGGATTCGGGAGAGCGATATGCAGATGCCAGTGCCTTACAGGGATACCAGAACCAGTCAGGCAATGACCCATATTTGAACACGTTTAACCCCGGATGGCGGAACCACCCTCACTTTTCGTGGTCAAACAACTCGAACACCCTTCAGCCACCTCGTCCAAACTTCGTGCAGCAGCAACCTCGAGCCAACTTTGTGCCTCGGCCGAACTACCAGACACAGCAGCCACAACAGCAGCAAAGGGGACCGGAAGCAGGGTCGAGTTCGAACCTCCAGGACGACATTGCCAAGATCCTTCAATTTGTGGCCAGCAGTGAGCAACGAAGTGTCAATCAGGAGGCCTCCATCAAGCGTATTGAGACGCAGTTAGGCCAACTGGCCACACGGGTCGGAGTTCTCGAGACTGAAATGAACAAGAGTAAGTTGCCTAGTCAACCAGAGCATGTGAACTCAGTGACTGTCATTATGCCGGACTTGGAGAAGAAGATAGTAGACGAGGGAGTACAAGAAGCAGAAGAAGATCCGAGGGAGTTAGAGAAAACAGAAAAGGCCCCAGTGACACCGCCTTCCGAGCCAACTTTGCATAAGTCTCAAAGTCCATACAGGCCAAGGTTTCTTCACCCATGCCGACTCTCAGAAGAGAAGGACAATCAGCTGACGCGGGACCTCTACATGATGTTAAAAGAGGTAAATAACGATCTATCACCTTCTGATGTGTGCAGGATGATACCGGCTTACGCGAGGCATTTCAAGGAATTGGCAAAGAATAAAAAGCGGTTAGAGAATGCCGATGAGGTGGTGGTATGTGAGACGGCGAGTATCTTACATAGCGACTTACCGAGGAAAGAGAGAGTCCCAGGGGGCTTCGTGATCAATATAGCTTTCGGGAATGAGAAAGAGACCTCGGGGATGCTCGATCTTGGAGCAGGAATCAACCTAATGCCGGTCACAGTCTATCGGCAGCTTGGGCTTGGTGATTTGAAGCCTACTCGGATGCGCCTACAGTTAGCCGACCGCTCGATACGTCAACCTGAGGGCATTGTGGAAGACGTGTTGGTTCGAGTGGGGAAGCTGATAGTCCCTGTGGACTTTGTGGTTCTAGATATGAGGGATATGTTAGAAGACGGGAGGCAATACACCACCCTTCTCGGGCGACCCTTTATGGCGACCACCAGTACGGTTATTGATGTGAAGAAAGGGATCGCGAGCATGACCGTGTTGGGGGAGTCTATCTTTATTTCTGACCGAGGGACTACGCCTGAACCGCAAGTGACGATTGAGGAAGAGGGTACACTTCTTCGAAAGATGGACCAACTTACTGAGGAAGCGTGTAAGCGAGGATTCACGCAGAGACCAATGCAGGGCAATCTTTTTCCTAACCGCTACATTGCCCCCTCTCAGCCTAGTTCGATGGAGCTGTCTCGGTCCCTCTGGGCCGAAAGATATGATGTGTCAAAGTCCCGTCGTTGCTCGGGGCCTGACTATCTCCACCCTCCGCCTGCACCACCGAACTCACAGTGACTAGTCTAGTCACTGTGCTCTGTACGACTGTATCTCTCCCTTTTTCTTTTCGCATTTTGCTCTTTTTCTTGCTTTTCTTTTCGGTAATTATTCCAGTAATTTGGTATTTTCATTTTGTTTTTCTTTTTATTCCAGTTATCTTTAAAAAAAATAATAAAAAAAAAAAGAGAACTGCTCTTGCTCGAATCGCTCCGACCTCCGGCCATCTTTTCACCACTTCCGTCAGCCGGCGAGTTCCTTTCCGGCGACCTCGCGTCTCTCCGTTCAATCTCTCTCTCCCATCGCGATTGTTCAATCTCGCGACGCTCTGCCCTAGCTTGTCCGTTCCTTCCGGCCGGCATCTCCCCGGTCCGCAACTAATTTCGACGCGCGCTTTCAGGCTCTTGAGGCCCGGTGGGATGCTCAGCATGGTCCCGGCGCCGGGCAGCCCCATCCTCCTCCTCCTCATAGTCCAGGACCACAGTGACTTGTCACTGTGTTGGTCAGCTTTTCTTTTCTTTTCTCTTTTATTTTTATTTTCTTTTCTGTCTTTTCTCTTTTATTTTGAGTCGGTTGATTGTGTGGTACAACTCCCATTCGCTGAAAGTCGACAATGGGGACATTGTCTGCTCTTAAGTGTGGGGGAGCTTTTGCATTTTATGTGGCTATGTGG